GGCGCTGCCCATCCCGTGCACGATCCCAGCGGGGCGCACGGGCAAGTCCGGCCCCAGAGATTCCATCCTGCCCCGGCCCGGCCCCCCTCCGCTCTACTGTGCAGTTGTGCACTGTCTAGCTGGCAGACACTCTCATGCAGCGTGAGCGTGTCCACTGGCCAGGCAGTTCGCCACTACATACTGATACTCATGACAACAATAAAACGTACTTAACTAGAAAACACCCGACATTTCTACGGCCGGTATTTTCTCAATTTGTGTCCCAGACAGAACCCTCCAATACCGGACTGTCCAGTTCAAAGCCGGACACCTGGCCACCCTCGCTCCCATTCACAGGCAGGCTCCAGCACTGCTCCCCCGTGCAGGGGAACACCACGTGCGCACCACCTTCCCCACCCCCGCCGGATCTGCCCGGCATCGTCGTGCCGGTCTGCCAGAGAGCCCTGCTCCGGGAGCGCCGGACACGGAGGGAGCCCTGGATTTATGGACTGCCGGGCCGAAAAGGAGCAGCACAATCTTGATCTGCCCAGGCCAGAGCCCCACAAAGATTCCCAGCTGCACCCACCCCGCGTGGGCTCAGCGTGGAGGCCCTGCGTTCTGCGAATGGGGCGCAGTGAATCCGGCAGGGCAGGAGCTGCCTCTGTGTCACCGTGCAAGGACATAGCCATCAGTTCAACACTGGCGCGAGGCCTGACACCCCGCCTGGCCCGGCCCGTGCTACTGAGGCCTGTTGGCCAGGGCCCCCGCCTTTCTGGCTGCTTCTGAGTGCCAGCCACTCCTCAGGGTAGCCAGTCACCAGCCAGCCAGCGAGGGCAGGCAGCAAATGCCGGCCAGCCATGGAGCTTGCCATGAGCCCAGCCACCCACCCCGAAACCGCCCCGGGCGGCACTCACCTGGCACTGTCAGGACGGAGGGGGACATGTGCGGCTGGTCACTCACTCTGCTGCTGTTCCAAACCCAATAAATCTCCACTGGATCGGGCGGCCCCACCGCCTGGCACGTCAGGTTAAATGGCTGGTTCCTGGTAACGTTCAGCCTCTGGGGCTGCCGAAGGAAGTGGGGGAGGCCTGTGCGGAGACACCCGGAGACAAGCACCGTGAAAATACTGTCAGCAACAACGCTGATAACCAAGCATACCCAGATTCACCCGCATCACCGCCAATACAACCGCAGCTCTGAGCGCAGACACCTGCCTCCCACCCCGAGTCACCCGGCCCGCTCCGCCACCTCCTGCTCCTCCCACCCCGAGTCACCCGGCCCGCTCCGCCCCTTCCTGCTCCTCCCACCGAGCCGCTCCGTCACCTCCTGCTCCTCCCACCCCGAGTCACCCAGCCGCTCCGTCACCTCCTGCTCCTCCCACCCCGAGTCACCCGGCCCGCTCCTCCAGACCAATGCCTCCTCCTAACTGCCAAGCTCCCCACATGACCCCTGCCAGGCACCCTCCTGCAGCTCACTGGCACTGCTGCTAAATGCCTCCTTCAGGCACCGGCTTACCTTCCAGCTGGACAAAGATAGGGTCGGACACGATTTCCTCACTGTGGATTTTCAGTTTGCAGCTGTAGGACCCGTTATCAGAGCGCTGAGCATTGGTGATGCTGCCAGGGGAGAGGGCAGGGTTACCAAGGCTTTGTCTCTCACCCGGACATGGCAGACGAGAAATGCGGGAGCACTGCTATGCTGGAGCTCAGTAAGTATTGCCCTCAAAAGCTGCAGTAAAAGGATGTGACGGCTGCAAAGTCAAGCACTCAAATGCTGCAACCTTCATGCAGCCCCCTGGCACGCCTGCATTACGCTACGGCCTTGCATTAGGCGCATGGACTGTAAGGCTAGAAGGGCCCATCACGATCTTCCCGTCTGACCCCATGCACATCTCAAGCCACAGAACCTCCCCCACCCACCCCTGGAGTGACTGACGTCCTCAAACCTGCCTTTCTAATCTCTGAGTTACAGAGAATCCACCACTTACACTACCAGTCGAACCCGTGGGGCCTGGCCGGTGCCCAATCAGAGAATTTGCCAAGCCACAGGAGTCAATGAGAGCTAACTAACAGCACAGAACATGGAGAGCCAGGGGCTGGAAACAGACTTTGTGGAACCACAGGAAACTTGGCCATCCCCATGACAGGGGGACATCGGGCTCACCCAAATCCTGCCGGACCACGGATGTTGCCAGACAAGAGAGGTTCAACCTGTAGTTTAAACCTACAAGTGAGGCATGCTGCAGAGAAAAGTGAAACCCGTCTTACCCCACCCCCCCCACCCCGGGGCACTCTTCCAATCTGACCTAGGGGAAAATTCCTTCCTGACCCCAAATATGGCGATCAATTAGGCCGGGAAGCACGTGGGCAAGCCCCACCAGAAACAGGCTCACCTGCTTTTCCCCCTGAAGACCTGGCTGCATTCAGTCCACAGGAAGGCTGGTGCTCACTTAAGGAGCAGCTGCCCAATCGGTTGTTTCACGCTCTGGATTTAACGCGCAGCTCTCTGACCGGCATTCATGCAAGCCCTGCTCTGAAGGCAGAGCTACCCACGTCCTCCTCGGCCTCCCTGGGGGCCCCTTCGCTGCCACCGTGAAGTGCTTCCCACAGCCACTAACGTTTACTGTTCCGGTTTAACGTTAGGCGTAACTGGTTCACCGGGGCGAGCGTGGGGAGGCCGGTTAGCCGTAACCACTAAGCATCACCCTACACCGAATCACGCCGCCGCCGCGATGCTGAGAAGCCCCAAGGCATGCTGGGACACTCGCTGCGAGAACGGCACGTGTGGTTGTTTCTGGACTGTCTCGCAGCTGCCCTGTTACACCCCGTGATCTGTGGGGCCCTCGTGCCAATGACAGCCAGGCACAAGCTGGCTTTTTCCATGGATTCAAGAGCGCCTAACCCCGTGCACAGCCAGCGTGGGAGAAGGGGTGTGGAGGGGACGGTATCTACGGGTCTACGTTTGGCTCAGGGGATCTTCCTTCCCTTTGAATTCCCCCCAGCACTCTGGGTTTCACGTGGCCGATTCCCGCCTACAACTGAGGTGACCTTTGTCTCCCAGTCCAACCGTCCTGACCTCAGCGGGGCTGGGGCGTCTGCCTTCTCAAACTGGGGGCACGCCTGGGGGCTGAGCTGACCGCAGTACCAGCCCCTGCTTCCTGCCGGACCAGCCAGGAGCTCTCCTTCCCCCTCCCCTGCTCTGTTCCTTGGCCTGTCACGCGTGAGGGGCTGGGTTTGCTTGGGGGAAGATGACTTACAACAAAAGGTGTGGGGCTGAGTTTGGAGTTTTCTGGGATCCCCTGATTCCCATCGTCCATCATGCAAGACAGGGTTAGAACGAGCGCTTGGAGTCTGTGGTAACCATTACCTGCCTGACAAGTCAGTGAGGACTGTCCCCTTTCATGGGGGGGGTTCCCAAACCCCAACTGATCAGCAAACACCACAGTCCCCCCAGAGCCCCTTCCAGCAGCAAGCTAGCGCTGGGCCTGCCCCAGCTGGCTGAGGTCCCGGCCGGGCACTGTTAGCGGTCGGGAATTGTGTGGGGTCTCAGCTACAGAGTCCAGAGTTTTCAGCTGTTCTTGAACCAAAGCCGGCAACCAGCGAGCCCCCTTTGACAGAGCTGGCTTCGTTACCTGAAGGTAGAGATCATGGTTATTTCCTCATCGTCCATCACCTGGTAGTAGCGAGTGGACATGCGGCCTGGCTCCTGCAGCTCCTTCCCATCCTTCCACAAGGAAATGACGGCAGAGTCGTGGTTGAGCAAGGCATGAGGCACCTTAATGGAGCAGTTAAACGTGAAGTCTTTGTGCTCGTTAATTACGATCTGTCTCACTGTGGGGTTGAATTTAATCGGCTGGAGAGAGCGGGCTGCGGAGGCTCCGTCCAAGAGAGACCCGTTGGCCTGCTCAGGATATGGCTCCTCAGGGGGCCTCGGTGTGTCGGCTCCGGTGGCGTCGTGCACCGTGGTCAGAAGGGAACGGGGGCGCCGGGGTGCAGCTGGCCAGGCCGCCAGCAGCACTTGTGTGGCTGGCATCCGGCGGGACGTCCCGCTCTCCCGCCTCGCCTCAGAGCTCTCTGCAAAACAAGAGCCGGGGTTACCTCAGATCCATGGGTGCCTCTCCCCACGCAGCCCCTAGGTCTGTGGGGTGGAAGGCCTCACCGCCTGACTAACTGGCTCCTCCAAAGCCCTCTCCCTAGAGAGGGACACAAGAGAGCGCTACCAAGGCGGGGTTCAGCGTTTCCACCCTGCCCGCGGGACTCCCCATGTTTTGCACAGGAGGGATGTGCCTGGTCCAGACCTTACGGCCAGTTCCGGCCTCACCCCGCTAGACTCCCCTTTCCCATAGGATACAACAGCCCACGTGCACCAAAAAGCCAAATGAGCAGGAGAACAAGACAGCCACGTGAGGAGGTGCTGCCCAGACCCCCGCCCCACTGCAGCCATCCGGCCAGCCCCCTCCCCAGTGCCCAGGGACTGAGATGCTGCCATTAACGCGAGGCTCCGCATCCCCCATGTGCCGGCTCCAATGCACCCCGCAATGAAGAGAGATCTGCTGTTTCCCTGGCCAGAGACGTCACCCCTCAGACACCCGCACAGGCCTGGCCCTGGCTTTGCCGAGCACCTGCCTCACAAGGCCTCGTAACCATGACAACGCCAGGGATGCTCTGTGCAGGTGTCTGGGTTTGCCCCATGACTGGAGCTTCCTGGGGACAGACACCCCGTCTCCTGGGGGCTTGTTCAGCACCTAATGCAGCAGGGGGGCGGGGGAGGAGTCTGATGGCGGTCCGGGTGCTACTACACTAGAAATGTTCAGCGGGGGAACTGACAGCGGGGGAGGCACACCCCGACTGGAGGCTGAATCTGCACGGCCCTGGGGCACAGAGCTGAGAGCATCGCCGGGCAGGCCCACGTCACACCTGCCCCCAAGCAGGAGGAAGGTCGAGGGTGCTAGCACTGACACCCCCGTTTCCTCCCCCCCTCTGAGCCACGCACCTCAGTGTGCGGCGGGGGGTCCCCGCTCAGGGCTGGGGTCTGTGCTCGAACGAGAGCCGGGCTCCCTTTTACGGACGAGCGCTCAGAAACGCTGCTTCCGTCGACCAGAAACTGTCGTCGCCACGGCCCCGCCATGGGAAAATGCTCTGAGCCAGCTGCAGAAATCGTACCCACCAGGGGCACGTGTAGCCCAGTGACTAGAGCCCCCCCTCCCCGTGGGGTGTGGGAGACTCAGGCTGGAATCCCCACTTGGGTCCCAGGCAGCCGCGCTCCCTCTCTGGCCCAGCGAGTATTTCTGGGTCTATAGAGTGCCCCAGCTTCCGCCGGCGGTACGGACCCACCCCAGACTAACAGAGCCAGGGGGTTCGGGTGCTCACCAAGAGCAAGGCAGCGAGCGCTCATTGTGCTAGGAACACGCTGGGCACGCCACCTGATTACACATCCCTCGTGCTTACACGAGCACTGTCCACGCACAGCCCAGGCTCACCCTCGTGTGACAGCCTCGCACTTGCACATGGACTTGCCGCAGCATCAACTCCATGATTTATGCACGGTCACGCAGCAGCTCCCTGGCATAGCCACGGAGAGAACCGCACCACTGAGCACTGGATGTGCAGCTAAAAGCAGACGTGGGAGTTGATTCTGGGGTCCGTAAGCGCATCCCAGCATGCCTCACACAAAGGGTTAATGATCACATAGGGTTAGGACCTCTGTTGTGGTGGCAGGCAATGTTCCCACTAATCTTTTCCATCCATGTGCAGAATACATTTTATGTGCACCAAATTGTGTGTGAATGTGCACCACACCGTAGAAACACACAGCCTAGCTGTGGGAGCTCTGCTAATCAGCTGGGCAGCATTTGAATCTCTCCTGAGCGGCTGCACAAGCCCATGGCTTACAGGGAACCCTGGGCCGGGTTCTTCCGCTAAGCTACCTGTGGGCAGGGGTTAGATACCTACAGAGGCTACAGATGAGTCCCTGGTGACTTGCCGGGGGAGTTCAGCTTGTAAATTCCAGACCAGTTCTAAAGTGCAGTGGGGGAGGGCTCTAGGGTCTGGGATGGCGTCGTGTTACCAGGAGAGACCCCGGGAACAGCCAAGCACAGAGAAGTGTGTTTTGTGGGCGTGTGTTGTGACGCTGTTTGCTGGATTTTGTGCTGCTGACGTGAGTTTCTTTGCTACAGACGCCAAACTCCGACCCAGGCAGGGGGAGCTGACAGGGTCCAGTGACACCAGGGCATGTGGTGCCAGTCCCCTGCTCACAGATGTGTCAACTCCTGGAGCAAACACACACACGCGTCACTTAACCTGGCGCTAAGGTTGTGTGGGACTTTCACCTGGTGCCTTCACCCAGCATGCGCATGCGACCCCTATTTTGTATCCTAAGGGTACGTCACGCTGCCATTGGCACCCAGGCTGGCCAGGGCTCAGGCGGTGGGCTGTTTAATTGCAATGCAGATGTTCAGCTAGTGCTGAGGCCTGGAGCTGTAGGACCCTATGAGGTGGGACGGTCCCAGCAGCTACGCCCCAATTAAACAGCCCCTTAGCCCAAGCCCCTGGAGGGTGTCTAATTACAGGGCAGACACATCCAACGTGCCTTGCTGGTTTATCACAAGTAACAGCTACTTAAACCTGCCTTAACTGAGCTCCATTTATAGGAAAATAAATAAGATCACGATGAAAAATTGTCTCGTAAAATGCATGGTGAATTTTTCTAAAACTTTATTTGCTATGCTAAGGTCTTCTTTTCAAAATAACCCTGTTTAACATACACTCTAAATCCAACACAGATATGCTGACACTTAAACTTATTATAATCTCTTAAAACATTTGCATAAAAAATAAATACGCTGAATTCCTGAGCCTCTAGCAAAACCTCGAAGTTAAAGGCTGTTTTTCCAAATAAAGAATCGGGGGGGAGGGATTTGAAATCGACCTTTTGAGGTCAAGCTTTATAAATATGGCTCAGTGTGTCAACATAAGTAACTCGAGAGACTGTCTCATTTCAAGACACTTACACGAGTAGGAATTTAAGTACCAGTCTCTTTAACTTAAGTATATTTGAAAATTTGTTCAGGCAAATAATCAGCTTAATTCACTCACTACAATGAATCCCTCTGTTCCATTAAGAAATCATTCAGTTATAAATGCAAATTGTGTTTTAACAGATGTTTCTGTATCCAAAACATCTAAGGTCATTTTGTTAATAAACATAACTTGCGTTTGCCATTGTGTGCAATTCTAGTTACCACCCAAATGGCGGTTGACTCAACTCACATGCAAAAAGTTATCTAGTAAATAAGCAACCATGCTGTTTCCAGCATACAAAAAATGTACAATTAATAAGAATCTGAAAACATGAAGCTATGCAATTGCTTAAATAAATGTAGTTATTGTGCTCCCTGCTATGTAGCAAAATGATGTACCAAATCTAGTGTAAAGACTCTATGAAGCTGTAAATCAGCGTGTTTAATGGTTGTCAACCCATGAAAACGCACCTTTCTTTAGAAAACAGGAAGTACAAATGGAAAAGTTACTTAAAATCACTGACTTAAATTGAAACTTTCCACTGAGTGATGCACATCGCTGCTTTGAATCCCCTTGATTGAAATCACTTCACTCCGCGAGTTTTGCCATTCCCAGCCCAGCACTCCACCAACCAGCCTCGATTTTCAAACATTTATCCCAAATGAAAAGCCGTTGCCAACCTTCTACAGAGGTGTCATTTCCCTCCGCCCTTACAAATTACTTCATCTTTGGATGGTATCACGAGCTTTCATGGGCACAACCCATTTCTTCACAGCTGAAGTTTAATAATTTGTTCCCGTATCTTTCCAGGGACCATCGTTAGGCTGCCTGGGCTATACTTCCCCACGTGCTCTTTGTTCCCCTGGTTAAAGAGAAGCACTATTTTTTCCTGTTCCAGT